ACGTCAACCTACGCGCTGATTCGACAGACGACAACGAGCAAGGGTGCACAGCACACGGAGATCAGGTGGACCATGATGGCGTCACCTGGACGATCTCCACGAGGCAGAGGGTTGCATATGACAGGGCTACGGAGATCTTGCCACGGATGTTGTCGCCATCTCATCCGTGGCCCAGTTATCGTTCCTTGTATTTCTTTCTGCTCTGTTGATACGTTTGCTTTCTCATGTATCACTCTGTTCTCCCCTTTTTTTTTTTCCCGCCATGACATACAATAAGGAGATCGCATAATTTTGAAACCCCCTGCGCGTCACATATGTGACGAACCACTTCACGACCCCGTGCCATCCTTCGTACCCTTTCTTTTGCTTGTATCATACCAACCCTAGGAAAACCCTATTTTGATTTCTTGATTTCGGGTGCCGCATTTTCCTTTTTGAGAGATTTTTCGACTGCTGAGTTCTGTTTTTCTTCTTGCAAAGTCGGGAAATACATGGAAATCTACGTGTGCCTTAGCGAGCGCACTGGGAATTGGGCTCGGTAGTTGGGAATTCCGGGATAAGCGGAACTTCGACGTGTCCTTTTTGAGTGTGTGAATGTTCTTAGGCGCGTCGGGAAAAATTCTCGGAATTTTGCGTGAATACGAATAAGCGTAGGATTTTTTTTTCCCGCGTCGTTTTTTCGTGGGCGGATATGGTGATTTCAATTTTGAATTAGGATAGAAGCAAGCTGTAACTGTTTCGGTGCCTTTTTCTTTTTTTTGTTGACGGCGCCGTGCATGCAAAAGCTTCCTCCTCTGTGTCCCCCGCATCGCTCCCTCCCGCGCCTCCCTTCCCTTCTCCCTCCTTTTTCTCTCTCCCCGTAACTGTTTTTCCTTCCCCCTCTCTCTCTCTCTCCCGCCTTGCTTTCGCGCGCCCATTTCCCTTTCTTGATCATCCGAATCTTGGACCCGTCTTGCGCCACCTCTCGCGCCTTTTCTCTTCTCACCCTCTAAGTCTGGCGTACGACGCCCGACCGATCCCCCGATAACTCCCGCTTGCCAATCAGGTGCATGGATCGATAGGACCTTCCTATCGCGATACGAATTTGATTGGTTGAACCTTGAGTTCCGAGGGATCAGCATGGCGTTCGTAGAGCACTCTTCTCAAAGTTTTCTCCTCCTGCTTCTCCTCTTACACCTCAGCTTTCGATAGAGTGTTTGAAGCGAGTCGGAAAGTCCTGTCGGGCTGACGATAGACTGGCCGGTTGCGCGCTGGATCGCCACGACGGACTGTGGGATCTGGGTGAACCGTGTCGAGTTTACAACAGCGGGGTGACGATCGCAGTGGTGGGAGTTAGGACACGACGACCGGGATCGTCGGTGCGGGTATGAGGATCGATGTTGAGTTGATTGGCCCGGCGCCATATTGGAATTAACGGCGAATGCGCTTTTGTTGCGGATTGTTATCTTTGGCGTGAGTGTACGGCGGTGACGCCGAACTTTTTTCTTCCTAGATCTTGTCATCTTCTGTTTTGGACTTCCTTTCTCTCGACTCTCTCTCTCTCTCTCTCTCTCTCTCTCTCTCTCTTTCTCTCTCTCTCTCTTTCTCTTTTTTTGAATGATGATGCGTGTGTATTGTACAATGCGATCCATCTTTTCCCTGTGCATGTCTCATTTTCGCACCGTCCACAGTGAATGCATGTATAGAGATGCGTGACATTTTCGGATTGATTAAACGAGTGTCGTCGGGATTTTGTTCGAGAATGCAAGAGTGTTTAGATTTGTAGTTCTGTTTGCACTACGCATGCCATCTGCCTTATGCTGCACGACATCAGCAGACGAGCCACGAGGCGGCCCTGAGAAACAAGGCGCCCAGGGATCAACGTTGTGTTGAACTGAGCAGACCCGTAACCATATGCGTGATCAAGCTGATCTGTGTTTGCTCTCTCTCTCTTGTGTCAAAAAGATTGATTGGGGGACGCGCGAATCGCTTTTGTTCTTAATGATGTCTCAGGATATTTTGTGATTAATTGACATGTGGACTGACAAGTACCCTTCGATTGGGCGCCAGCCTCCCGTATCTCCCATCCCAACGCGACCTTTTCCTTACAGTGAGGAAAGGACACGTGTATGTGAGTGGGATGTACGAGAAGCCGTTGCACAAATCCGCGGGGAGTATCACTTCCATCCGGCCAACTGCTGTTCTGGGTTCGTAGAAGCCGGGTTTGTTATTATCGATACGCACTTCCCACCTTACTCGGTATTGTTGCCATTTAACGAGTTGATCGTCATTCCGTGGACGACAGTAGAACCCCACTGGCCGCGCACTCTGTGCACCGAATGTCAGCGTTTTGAGCGCTACGCGTCCAGGGGTTTCCACTACAGTGTGCGGGGTGAAGACGAGCATAAAGAAAGAGCCACGCGACTGAGACCCTCCACGTCAGACTCGGAATTAACCAGCGAACGATGACGGGATTTGATACGAAAACGAGACACGCGAAGCGTGCCCAAGCCTTTCTGTTATAAACGACGGGCTGTAGCCCGGTGGGAGGCACGACAATACTTTTTAGATTGAATTTGGGTCCTTCTCTCTCTTTCCCGCCTTGCTTGCGCGCGCATTCCCCGACGCGCGAAACGATCGACTTGCTCCATCGGACCAACACGGGGGATTTCAGTTCCATCTGTGTCCCCACACTCAATTTCCAAAAATCCTTGGCGAACCCCATCTTGCTGTTTTTCTGGGCCTCTTTTCCACACAGCTAACACTCCGAACGGAAGACAGCACAGGGCGTGAGGTTGCGCGTCACACTCGGCCGACCGGTGAGCCGATCCGTGCCGAGGCTCGGACTACCGGGTGTAGGCATCCCGAACGTCCATGCGAAACGAACGAAAAAAACGGGAAAAATAACAACAAAAAAAAACAAAGAAATAAGAACAATAAATAGGTTCTGTACGAACGACTTCGGAAAGGCAAAGCGGGAAACAATCATTCCCGCTTTGCGATTTGAGAGAGAGAGAGAGAGAGAGAGAGAGAGAGAGAGAGAGAGAGAGAGAGAGAGAGAGAGAGAGAGAGAGACTCTCTCTCTCTCTGCTTGCCACTTTTAAATCGCAAAGCGGGAATGATTCTTTCCGCGAAAGCGGGAAGATTCATTCCCGCTTTGCCTTTCTGAAGCCGTTCGTACATAACCTATTTATTTTTCTTATTTCTTTGTTTTTTTTCCGTGTTTTTTTTTTTTTCCTTTTTTTTTTTT